AAGGCCCCTGGCTCCTCGGCCGGGCAGGGGCTGGCGGGAGCAGGCGGCAGCGGCGCCGCGGCCCCAAGCCTGCCTTGAGACCCGGCGCGGCCGGTACCCGGGACGGGACCCGGACGGGGAGGAAGTAGGGAGGAGGCCGCGCTGAAGCCAGGCGGCGAGCTCCGAGGCCCAGCGGCCTGGGCCGCGTCACCGCAGCCACATGGCCTCCGGAGTGGGCGCGGCCTTCGAGGAGCTGCCGCACGACGGCACGTGTGACGAGTGCGAGCCGGACGAGGCTCCGGGGGCCGAGGAAGTGTGCCGAGAGTGCGCCTTCTGCTACTGCCACCGCCACGCCGAGGCGCACAGGCAGAAGTTCCCCAGCCATCACCTGGCCCAGTACGTCCACGGCGCCGCCCAGGCCTGGACCGCCGGAGCCCCGGGGCAGGGCGACGCCAAGGAAGAAGCCGAGGCCAAGGTGGAGAATGAGCGGGACCTAGAGAGCGAGGTGGGGGAGGAGAGCGAGTCCGAGGAAGACAGTGAATCCGAAGAAGAGAGCGAGACGGAGGAAGAGAGCGAGGATGAGAGCGAGGATGAGAGTGAAGAGGACAGTGAGGAAGAAATGGAGGATGAGCAAGAGAGCGAAGCAGAGGAAGACAACCAAGAAGGAGAATCCGAGGCTGAGGGAGAAACGGAGGCAGAAAGTGAATTTGACCCAGAAATAGAAATGGAAGCGGAGAGAGTGGCCAAGAGGAAGTGTCCGGACCATGGGCTCGATTTGAGCACCTATTGCCAGGAAGATAAGCAACTCATCTGTGTCCTGTGCCCTGTCATTGGGACTCACCAGGGCCACCAGCTCTCCACCCTAGACGAAGCCTTCGAAGAACTAAGAGTAAGTATTGGGCATTCAGAGCATAGGCCTGGAGGTCTGTACACCTGGGTTTCAACTCAGGTGGCCTAGTTGTGGCCACATTCGCCTTCACCATGACCTTAAAAGGCTAGTCTGTTCAACTTAGTGAGGGCAGTGCTTATACCCTCTTTTTGGTTGAACTTTGAGAATCAGTTGAAAGTTCTGGACTCTGACCCGATGGGAAATATATGTACACATGAAACCTAGTGTACAGCTTCTGGAAAATTGCAAGCCTCTGGTGTTTGGATCCCAGTTAAAGCATTCATTGGGAGTTTTGACCCCATTTAAGCCAATTGCCACAGCACCGCCATTGTTGAGACTAGTGCCTTGACTTGGTAAGGCAGTCTCTTTGCGTACTTGAGAATATGGGAAACCGTGCTTCAGCCAGATGAACCCAAGCAGATGGTTCCTCTGTAGTGAAGAGACCCCCTGACAAGCGGCGGTTTCTGTATTAAGGTCATATGTGCCGCCAATTTCATTCAGGTTCTTCATGTGTGACAATTATTTGGAAAGGAGGATGAGAGGTTGGAAACAAACTTGGAATGGGAGTTCCTGTGTCCTCCATCTTTGGCAGGAGGGCAGGACCTTTATCTATCTTGGACCTTGCTGATCCCCTAGAACAGTGTTTGGAAAGTCGTAGACATTAATAAATCTTTTTTGGGCCAACAAATTTTTACATGATTTGCCTTTTACTTATATTGTGGATCTTTATAGTCAGAGAAATTGCTGGAGTTAACCAGGGAGGAAAGTTCGAGCAGAGTGACCAGTTCATTAGTGAATGTTGTCATGTTACGACGATTTTTGTTTCCCTAAGTAACCTTGCAATTACTGGCACTGGGATAACAAATACTTTGTTAATGAAAATTTCCTGTATTGAGATTTTCCTTTTTTTTTATTGTAAAATACACAAAGTATATAAAAACGTTTGCACAGTCTAACAAAAAATTATAAAGCAAATTCTGATGTACCCTCTACCCAGATTAAGACAAAGAATATTAGTAGCAATATTGAAGACCTATGCCCTTTCCAATTATAACCATTTCCCTTCCCTATAGGTAACCATTTTCTGGACTTCTGTGGTGATATTTCCTTGCTTATCTTTATAGTTTATCACATATATATGCATTCCTAAACTTACTTGAGCTTGACACAGTTGATGTCATATTGTGCATTCTTTTGGGTTTTGCTTCATTTTTTTAGCATTGTGTTTGTGAGATTCATCCAGTGAAGCTGTGGTTTGTTCATTTTCATTGTTGTGTAGAATTCCATTTTATGACTATGCCACAAGTTATCTCTTCTATCAGTGATGAACATTCGATTTCCAGATTCTGAGGTTTCCGCTTATTATAAACAATGTTGGTATAGACATTCTTGTTCATGTCTCCTGGTGAACATCTACATATATTTAAATGGAATGTAACCCTAGGATGAGATTGTTGGGTCACAGACTGTGCATATCTTAAATAGCACCAGATTTTGCCAACTATTTTCCAAAGTGGTTGTACCAGTTTGCATTGCCTTGAAGAGTGTATGAGAGTTCCTGTTATTCTGTATCATCACCAGCACTTGCTATTAGAGAATTTAAAATTTTTGTCAATTTTGTGGATATGTATGGTATCTTCTTGTGGTTTAAATTTGCATTCCTCTAGTTACTGAGGACTTTGTGTATCTTTTATCTCTCTCCTTTTGTGAAGTGCCCCATTGAGGTTTTTTTGTTCATTTTTCTGTTAGGTTGTCTTTTTCTCATTAATTTATGGAAATGTATTCGGACTTCTTTGTTGTTTCTGTGGGTTGCAGATATCTTCTAGTCTGTTTTTTAAAACTGTGCCTTGAGTAGAAGCTCTTCATTTTAATATAGTAGAATTTATCAATAATTGCCTTTATTGTTAGTGCTTTTTGTGTCTTGTTCCACTTAGGATTGCTTTTCCCATAGTGGAAATAGGGGCTCAATTTCATTTTTTCCTCTTGCAGGTAGCCAGTTGCTCTAGCAGCATTTATTGAAAAGCCTGTCTTTTCTACATGGATCTGCTGTGCCACCTGTCCATATGCCTGTGAATATGTTTCTTGGGTCTTCTGTTCTCTACCATTGACCTGTTAGTGTATCTCTGTGTGAAAAACATGTTTTCTTAGTTACCATAGCTTTGTAACATGTCTTAGTATCTGGTAGAGCAAGTTCTTCCACTTTGTTCTTCTAGAAAGTCTTGGCCTTTTACATTTCTTAGAAGCATACTATAAAGTTGTGTTAAGAAAGCCTGCAGAACGTTTTTTGTATTGTATTGAGTTTATAAACCAATATATAGAGAATTAACAGCATTCCAAGATAAAGTCTTCTCATATATTTAGGTCTAAATTGCCTCATGATAAAGTTTTAAAATTTTTTTTCTGAAAAATCTTGTATATCATTTTGACATTTATTGCTGGATACTTAAAATTCTACAGTATTGTACAAAATTTAAAAATTTTTGTTTTCTAATTGTATATAGGAATATGATTAACTTTTATGTATTGATTTTTATGTTAAGATGTCTGCTAAATTCTCATAAATATTCTAATAATTAATGTGTAGATTAATTCTATGTACATGACCATATTATCTGCAGAGAGGGACAGTTTTTGTTTCTTTCCAGTCCTTATATGTGTTGTTTTTTTTCCTTGCCCTAATACTTTAGTTAGGACCTTCAATATAATGTTGAATAGAAGTGATAGTGGGTATTCTGGTCTTGTTCTAATTGATGAATAATTTACATTTCACATATAAGTGTGATAGTAGTTTGGTTTTTTTCACAGATATATTTCATCAGATTAGGAAAATTCCCTTTTAATCCTAGCTTAAGAGTTTTTCTTTTTTTTTTTTTAGATATTTTTTATTTATTTATTTGACAGAGAGATAGAGAGCACAAGTAGGCAGAGCGGCAGGCAGAGGGAAAGGGAGAAGCAGGCTGTCCGCTGAGCAGGGAGCCCGATGCGGGGCTCGATCCCAGGACCCCAGGATCATGACCTGAGCCGAAGGCAGCAGCTTAACTGACTGAGCCGCCCAGGCGCCCCAAGAGTTTTTCTTAATATTCAGTGGCTACTGAATTTTGTCAGGTGGTTTTCCTGCATCTATTGGGGTGTTCATCTGATTTTACTAGGTTAATGTGGTAAGTTATGTTAATTGATTTTTTAAATTTAAAAATCAGTAATATGTTCACATGCCTCAAAAGTCTCTAGTTCACCTTTGTCCTTTTCACCTGGTTTCTTCCCCAGCAACTATTGGTGACCACTTTTCTTAGTTTTTTGCACATCTTTCAAATGTTTCTTCTTCTATTTGTACACAGAAAGATGGGTGTGCATAAATATGGTCTTATTTTCATCCCTTCATGTCATTGTATTTTACAATTAAAGCAACTTTGCATTTCTGGGATAAATGCAACTTGGTCATGGTGAAGTATCTTCATGTTTTTAAATTTGGTTTATTAATAATTTAGGATTTTTTTCATTTGTATTTATGGGAGAAATTAGCTTGTAAATTTTCTTCTTTGTACTGGGATTCTGCTATCCAGGTTATGTTGGCTTCATAGTATGAGTCACAGTGTATTGCTTCTCACATAGTTTCTCTCTTTTAATGCTCTGGAAGTGTTTGCTTAAGATTGGTATGTTTCTTCCTAGAATGATTGGTAGAACTGACCATGGAAGCTGTCTGGACCTGAAAAGAGAAAGAGAGAATTTTGTTACTTTGTTTTCTATTTTTGATTATGAATTCAGTTTCTTTAATGGTCATAGGTCTGTCCAAGTTGTCTATTTTTCCTTAGGTCAGTTTTGATAAGTTACATTTTCCCAGAAGTTTGTCCATTTTGTTTAACTTTTCAAACGTACTAGTATAAATTTGTGAATCATATCCTCTATCTTTCTTCATACTGTAGCTATCCTCTTTATTCTTGTGGGAACAGTAAGCATGTTGGTCATAATCTGTTTTTGGTAATTCCAGTATGTGGAGACGTTATAGATCTCTTCTGCTGTTGTTTTTGATGGTATTTTTCATGTTTCTTTATTTCCTTTTGTGTTATGTTTGCACAACTCTTCATTGCCTTTGAAAATTATTTGTGGGGATTTCCTAAGCCTTGGCATGAAGCTGTATTCTTCGAAAGAGGATTGACTTTGCTTGTGCTAAGGCCTGAGAGTACAATTTGTTTAGAACCCCCTTAAACTAAATGAATTGCTTGAGATTTCTTGGATCAGATTTTCAGGAGGTACCTGCCTAAGTTTACAACTTCTTAAAGATTTCATTTTCATCCAGCCCTGCAGCTCCTCCCCTCCTTCTGTTCAGCTCCAAGGCAACACTCCCACAGTCCCCTTCAGAGGGTGAGATAGTGGCAAGTTTAGTTTGTTTTTACTCTAGGATTTTACTCTTTGGCAGGGGTGAGAGCATCCGAAGTCTGTGTGGAAAGGGCTCTTTTAAATGTCTCACCCTGGGGCACCTGGCCGGCTCAGTTGGTAGAATATCTGACTCTTTTATTTATTTATTTGACAGAGAGAGAGAGCGCGAGAGCAGGAACACAAGCAGGGGGGGGCGAGAGGGGGAGAAGCAGGCTTCCCGTGGGGCAGGGAGCCTGATGCGGGTCTCGATCCCAGGACCCTGGGATCATGACCTGAGCCGAAGGCAGACGCTTAACGACTGAGCCACCCAGGCGCCCCACATCTGACTCTTAAGGTTGTGAGTTTGAGCCCTACATTGGATGTAGACATTACTTAAAAGACAAATTAAAAAGCACTAAGTGTCTCACTCTGAGCATGCCCCAGCTTTGCTTTCTCTTACCTTCTCCTCTTCCACCTTACTTTGTAACCCCTATCAAATGCACAGCCCAATTTCTTGCAGATCAGTAAATGTCCTCAGATCGAGAGCCGCTTCCCATACTCTTTTTTTTTTTTTAATTTATTTATTTTGAGAGAGAGCACAAGAAGGGGGAGCAGCAGAGGGAGAGGGAGAAGCAGACTCCCCACTG